AAAATGGCAAACATCTTCTATCACATTCAAGAGCCATAATGGCTCTTGATCACGGTAGATTAGGCCTCGAAAACAAATTCTTGGAAAACAAATCAGGCCGCATTTTTTTTGCGTTCGACAGGTTTACTTTACAAATCCTTGCCAACAAATCTGGGGGTGTAAACCAACCTTTATACTTTTTATACATCACATCTGAGGTGAAACAGTACTTTTTATCATACAGACCTCGGACAGAATACGGCATTTCACAATTTTTCAATGTCCAGGACGATCAATCGTGGGCTTTTAGCGAAACCGTTCAAAAAATTGCCAAAATCACCCATACGTCCAGCCGGTTCTCATTTTTAGTGCGAGCTGTCAGTGTGGTCGAGTGTTTGAATGAACTTTAATGGAGATACGTCTCAACATAATAACGAATTTATTATCATTACTTTTTGTTATTTAATGGTTCCAGCTATAACGATGTGTAATCTTATAAAGCGTTTGATACGTGGGACATTTCTATGTACTCCTGCAATCGATGTTCATGAACGATGAAAACAAACACCACGGACAAGCGATTAAAATTGCAAGAGAGACTACTAACAATCAATAAAAGAAATATAATTCGGTAAAACATTTACAGAGACAACAATTTTCATTCACGAAGACAAGTATTAAAGTGTCTCTAAAAATCCTGAGTCTTTAAGCTTTAATAAAGCTTAAGCTTAAGTTTATTTTGTTTTACTTTCAGCCGGCCTCCCGGTGTTTGTTTTTTTTTCAAAGATGAACTCCTCGAAGCAAGAAAATCACTCAAAGTTTTCTTTCTACAGCCAAATTTATAACTAAATATTCTTCGGAACGTTTGTTTTCTATTTGCCGTGAAAAAAAAAAATCTGAAGGCCTTTTAAAGTCCTGTAAGCTTATATCAAACCTGATACTAGATCAGATCATTGACTCAAATCTTAACAAACGTGCAAAAACTTGCCGCATAAACTGTGCTCGACTTCATGAAATTGGATATAAAAAAAACAAACATCAAATACAATAATTACTCAGGCTTACCATTCGAGATTCAGTTCCTGAAAGATATCAAGGAAGGCCATCGTTGCTTGAGACTTTTAAACCCTCTTACGCATTGAGCAAGGTGAAAGACGAAAACGATGCCATCCGAAATCGGATTACCCAATTTTAACAAGCGACGCATTTCTCAACCAAAAACCCAATAAACAAACCAGCCATGGATAACAGAAGACTCTTGATAGCAGCTGTATTTCATTTTGTACATCCAGTGGAAAAAGACAGTTAAAAACATCACAAGTTGACACAAAACTCTGTCAAAGTAAACAACTTTCAAGATGCTGCATAAATTTTCCGCATGAACTCACCTGTCAAATTTTGACCAATCAGAGTACAAAAATTGGACGTAGAGCGTGACCAACGCGTGACCATGGTAAGAAAAGGTCTTCCCCGCCTTTAGTTTTAAAAAAGTGGCCTAATTTTCGCGTCCAAGGTCAGTTTGAAATCAAAATCTTGACAGTGCGGGGCCATAGTGACATAAACACAACATATTTCATATGAATCATTGGAAAAAATAGACTTGAGCCTGCGATTATTTGAAACTGGTAATTTGTCAGCGGATAACTTCAAAAAAGTACTCGACCTCGATGGGTCGACACTTGAGCCCGCGGTACGGTCAGGTGACACTGGTCAGCGAATATCCTGTTTTGACAGCTGTCAATTGATCACAACATTGATGTGCAATTAGTTTTCTATTGGGTTCCCAAACTAGCTAGAAAGTGTGAGAGAAAACATTGGTTTCCCTGTGGTGCGGACGGACGGTCGGGCGTACGGTCACGTGATTACCAAATTTTCTCGGATGGGTAGATTACCACATTTCCTTAGCTATGGAGCTCCGTCCACGCGCGCGCGCTTCGCGCGCGGGTGGAGCTAAATTGATAAGCATGGTTCAGTATGAATGACGAATAAAAATCAACGACCGGTTTAGTGGAGTGATTTTTTGCCAGCAAAAAACGGATTTGAAACAACCCACATCACCTTGTGGTCTTGGCTTGAAGACTTTTTGCTTTTCTTCCGAGAACGTTTTTTGAAATAGCTGTATAATCTGTTTTTAACCATTTTATCTGACTTGTAAGGTGTATTCGTTCCTTCTTTTTATGTAAATGTTGGCGCGATGTAAATTTTATACATTTAAAAAACCGTTACCGCCAAAACGGACCTTTTGCGTCCAACAGTTTTTTCGGCCAAAACTATGAACTATCTCAAAGCAGCTATTATAAAAACTAAGAGTGCAACAATTGCTTTTTTTCCTTCTCTTCCTTTCCTTCTCCTCGCCCTTTCTCTTTCTCTTTTCCTTTTCCTTCGTTACTGTGATATTGGAGCTTCTTGGGCTTAAGCATGAAGCCTTTCACTCAAATGACTGCAAATTTCGTTAGGATGGTTTTCAAAAAAACGGGTAGATATACATTTTATCGCTCACCTAAATGATAAGCTAAATGAGGCAGCACTTTTTTTAATGCTCTCTCAAACACGTCAAAAGCCCTCTCTCCTTTCCTAGGTAGAATCTCCAGGAGCTTATCAGCCGCATCTTCTCGCGTTTTTCTCGAACTCGCTTTAATTTCTTCCTCGTCTGTGGGGTCCAACACATCTACCAAATCTGGTAATAGCTTTATAGGTTCAAGATCCTTTCTTAGTGTGGGCCAGGTACGACGCAAAATATCCTGGTGTTTGTCACCCATACTAATATCATTTCGACTCGTATTTTTACCTGCAAGGAAATCGTTTATTTTAAATTTGGCCATAACCTCATCATCCCTTGCTTATTTATGTCAAGAAGGACCTATCATAGGAACCGCCCAATAGACCATTTCGGAGTTGTTTTAAGCCTCTGTTTCAAAGAGAGGCCGAGTGTGAAACCATTGATATGAAAAGGATTTTTTCTCATGCAAATAAATCTCATTTCCTCAATAAAGGTTTTATATTTAGCCTAGTTTTGAAAGTTAAAATATTTTGGAAGTCGGAAATGGCCTATTTCTACCAGCTTATGGGGTGTCCGCAGACTCGGGGCCCGGGCTGGGGTCTATCTTTTTTTGAAGAATGCTATTTTAGGATTAGGGTTCGGGTAAGTGTCAACCCTAACAATATTCTTTTAAAAAAGACTGACCCCGGCCCCCGAGCCTGCGTTTATACTGACACCCCAACTTATGCCTGTCGGGTTACAAAATTAAGCTTCTTTGAAGAAAATTAACCACTATTAATATTAATCACTGATGTTCGTAAGAGCTCCTGTTAGGATATCTTTGTCGGGCGGTAGACAAACTAAAGGAAGGAAGTATCTGCGAAAGGGATCTAACTTACATACGTGGGAAGCAAAACATGAAAGAAAATCATAATTTGTGCTGGTTACCTTGAAAGTCACTTTCCCCAAAGCCTGATGCAGAACTGCTTCTTTCATGACTAGTGCTTGGACCGTTGAAATTTATGTCACGCATCTCGTTCAACAGCTGTTTTGTTTCTACCGGAAAAATAATCACATTCGCATGTCATTAGTTAAGCTATTTTTTTTATACTATACTGGATAGCTATTGCACCGAGCGAGACGAAAATCCCATTATACCAGATATAGGGCTGCAGTGCTCACATATAAGAACGGTGATTTCGCTACGTTTTTTGTAACGGAGCGAAGCTGCGTCACGCTGCCAGTCGCATATCGAATAGGTTTCTGTCACACTCGTTGCAGTTCTGTACCGTAGCTGTTCACATCGTTGTTCAAGTCGGCACGAAAAGCTATTCGGTATCAGTGTGAACATACAGTAGCGGATCCAGACCCTCAGATAGGGGAGGGGGGGCTGGTCATCCAGACCCAGAGAAAAGGGGGGGCAGTGTCCAAAAGATTTTTTTCGGCCCTTCGGGCCTCAGTTTGGTCTAAAAATAAGGGGGGCCTGACCCCCCCCGGGCCCCTCCTCTGGATCCGCCACTGACATAGCCTAAGGTTGGTTGTGTTGGATGTGAGAGTTGCGACCTATTTCATTTACTTCATCGGGGTGTCTTCGAGTCTGTTGTCTCTGACTGATACTACAACTTGTTTCTATAAAAATCAGTAAAATATCAGGCAAAGTGTTTGTTTAAAGTAAAAGATCAAAGCCCTCACAGATATTCAGGGTTGCTGTTTTCGAACTCCTAAGCTTGTCCCTCAAACAATAATAATAATAGTAATAATAATAACTAACATGGGCTTATATACAAATTGTTCTAAGCGCTTTACCATTCTCAACCTATGAATGTTAAATCATTAAATAAAAAATGACTGACAAAAACTAATTAAAATTTTTAGATGTGTTCTTAGCTTTATCTATAGCGCGCAGATGGAAGTTCGTTCCATAGCTCTGGCCCACAAACAGAAAAGGACCTCCGTCCGGATTCATACAGAGGCAGGTTCAGTCTAATCCCATCAGTTAAGAAGCGCAATCTATAAGGCTTGCCGACGTCAATAGTCTTATAAATACTTAGGGGCTATTATTGAAAGTAAGCAAATTTATAGCATAAACTATTCTCAAGTCTACTAGCAGCCAGTGAAGCTCTTTCAAAACAAGAGTAATGTGAGCATTTTTTCCCAGTCTAACAATAATACGTGCAGCAACATTCTGAACGTTCTGCAACCTCGGCAACCAATGCAAATGCTTAGGTGCACCATACCGAAAAAAAAAACAATGAGTTACAATAGTCTATTTTCGATATAGAACTAACGCAACAACTAAATAAGTTTTCGCTGTATCAAAAGATAAGTATTGCTTAATTTTAGCAATGTTATGTAGGTTGTAAAAAGCAGATGTAACTATGGCATTAACATGTTTGGATAATGCCATTTTAAAGTACTGTCAAAAATAACACCAATGTTCCAGGCATGTTCAGAAGGATAAATAGCCTTTGTGTCATTTCCAACAGTGAGTGATGTCAGCTAGGAAGAGCAAAAATATGCCTTTGGTCTGTTGCCAAAAGAAAACGAAGCTTTCAAATATCGAGCTTTACTTATACTCTTCCAACTGTGATAAACTACGGTCACATTTTCAAAGTGAACCGATTGAGTTAAAAACCGACTTTCAGAAGGCAGAGCATTTATATTATCATGTTCCTACCAAGGGCGTCATAGAACCCAAAAATCAGTGGATATATTTCAAAAATGCATGTTGCATACAGCTAACCTTGTGTTCCGAAACGCACTGAAACCACACAACTGTACGGAGATACACTGTGAGCGGTGGTTTCTCTCTTTCATGGCATTTAGCGTTTATAAAGTCGTTCGGGCGCGTCCCTGGTCAGTCGCGTCGTTAACAAACCAACTACGCAACTGAAAAGCGAATCGAACGACTTCGTAAACGCTAAAAGTCGTGCATGCGAGAGAGAAAACTCTGCTCGCGATCTAGTGCGGAGATATCAGCGGTCAAGGAAAATGATTATTACTGACTTTTACACGATTTTGAGCAGACATACCTATGAAAAGGACAACAAACTCAACACTAGGAAGACACTCGCACTCAGTCTGTCGCATAAGCAGCATAAGGTGCTAAACTTACACATTTTTCCTCGGCGGAATATAAACTCTACACAGCAAAATTTCGTCTGATCTGGTTCATTATTAGCAGCTATGTCAACGAGCATTACGATGCGAACTTGAGGGATCCCCTTGAGAATCTATTCGGTTGTTCTTCACCGGTCGCACGCAGCGCATTTTCCTCTGAAGTGGTGTTACTCCATTTAGCGATAGAAGTTACTGTAGATCTCTTTGCAGCCTTAATGTGCCAATTCAAATATTGTTTGTTACAAAGGCAAAATAATTCCCTGATCACGTTGACGTGTTGAAATTTCAATGACAGGTTAATTGCTGGAGGGCGGATCAGCGGCATCAGAGACTTGTCTCCGGGCTCCGCCATCGATTCACTCTCCTTTTTCCCCGAATGCGATGCCTGGTCCCAGGTTACCCCCGTTAAGGTAACGCATAACCTTGGTGAACACCTCTTAAATCTGTCTGGTTATAGCTGCATGATAAAAGTTTCGCTCTTTAGAATACCAAACGCATACGCGATCGGTGATTTTAGTGTCCAAGATATTATAATTCGGTTAGACAAAATTAATCCCCAAACAATCATATAAGCTTCATTTGATGATAGTACTCCATGTACAATATACTTAACAAAATATGAAACTCCTGGTTGGTCAATGATAAAAAATAACTGCTTATAGTCTAGAGTGCAAATAGCCAAGAAATTGAAGGGTACGCTATCAGAAAACAAAGCGAGAGCAATATGAATGATAGGAGACAAAATTGCCTGGCAGAGTTGACTTACACAAAAATTTAAAATAGATTTATTAATTTGTGTTTCGTACCTTCAAAGCAGCCTTCCCCAGATCCTGATGGAGAAGTTCTCTTCCCATGGCTCGGGTTTGGACTCTTCAAGTTTTTTTGTTCATTCATTTTTTCCAAATCTTTTTCCCATTTCCATGACCGTTCACTTTCTTTCAAAATTAACTGCTGTTCTAAGTCATTACATTTTTTTAAAAGATCTTTCCTCATCTCTTCAGAACTCTCTATCTGTTTTTCTAAATCATGGCACTTGTTAGCATATTGATTTCTTTCCCTTTCAGCAAGCTGTAATCGATTGTTCACATCCTCCAGTTGGCTTTTTAACTCCATCGTCGTTTTACCAGACTCGTCCTCCTTTTCGCTTTCCGCTTCTTCGCCCTCAGAGGTCATTGTTTCTTCCACTCCTTCTCCGGAAAGTCGCTGTCTTTCTACAGAAAAAAAATTCCCAAAAAATTAGATACAAAACTGTTAGATAACGTAAGACTCTCATTGGTAGTTGTCGCTATTCAAATTTAATTTCAATGTCTTAATTATAATGGTGAAAAATCCATTTTCTTTCTTCTTTCTCTTGTTAAATTTTCTTCACCTCCTTTTCTTTTTATTTGCCTTTCAGTCCTATTTTTCCCCTTTTTCTTTCTAACTGTGATTTTTGGTATGTTTTCGAACATCCTGCTAGAAAATTCCAAAGAATTCAGCCAGTCGTCTTTTAAAGTCTGCCCGGCATTCTAGACTAGCAAATGGTCGTGTCATTGCTGGGCCTCCAACCAACAATCGTTTTGCAGAATCATCTAGCTGGATTTTAGACCGTTACTGCCATAGACTTCTTCCGTCAAGCAGTCGTCCCCCGCGTTTTGTTCAGAATTTATTTTCAAATGAGCCAATATAAAAATCAAGAGTGGCGAATATGTTTTTTTATCCTTTGCCTCCATTCTTTCCCCTCAATCTCTCTATTTCCTCTTTGATTCTTTTTTCTTTTTTAGGGTGATTTCTGACAAAAAGGCTCTTTCCGTTATAGCATGTTACTTGGGACAGGGACTGGAATTAATTGCATTCGTGTATGTTGCAGTTAATTTTTTATTTCGGTTAATTTTAATTTTTCCTATGTTTGAAATTCGTTAGCATACATTACCATACCGAAAAAACAATGGAAAAATAAAAATTAACTGAAGTAAAAAATTAACTGCAACATGTACAACATGATCATGATGTTTATTTATTATTCATATGCTAACTGGCAGACAGATTAGCAAGTCTACTTTGTCATAGATCGCTTTTACGTCTCACACTGGGTATAGGGCAGAAACCCGGCTAGCACAAGCTCTTTCAAAGCAAAGTATTTTTAAAGAGGCCAATTTGAAGCTAAATTCAAAAATGGGTCTCAAGTGAAGATACATGTAGAGAAATTGAACTGACTACTAGCAGCAAAAACCTTGTACAGCTGCTGGACAGTCCAGTGTAAGCCAAAGTTGTCTCTGAAATAGAAGTCGTTACTTTGCTTTCCGCTGGGGTGGTTTATACTTTCAAATAATGTTTTTCTTTGTTAATTTAATTTGTTTGCCTTTTTTGTGTTGCTTTTTTTCTTATATTCTTAAATCACCTTAAGAAGTTTAATAAAAGGGAAAATGGTGAATTGAAGTGTTAAATCCACGTCGTCTATGTGCGCTCTAACTCCTTGCTTTCGGGTGCATGTTAGGCTCCCGAATCTGTTGAGCCGCAACTCGTTCCATTCCTCAGGAACTGAACATCTATGTATTTTGGTTTGTATTTTCAGGGTAACAAACGCCTCCAGAAGAGATCTTTGCCTTAATTACTTAATTATACTTACCTTCCTTCAATAACAAGGTAGCCAACCATTGTTTCTTTTTCATTATTAGTCCCTCGACAAGCGCTAGGAAAGCATTCGGGCCCCTTCTCTGCAGCGTGAAGAGTAAGGCCTTACTCTTTTCTTTACGTGGTTTTATCGAATCCATTTCATCGATGTCATCTCTAGTGATGATGTCTTCTTGGTATAAAAAATTCATCAGCGGATTTGGGTCTAAATCTTCCAAGAGTACCTCAAAATTCTTTTGGATGATTTTCTTTTGTCCTTTCTGCATAGTTACGTCCGTTTCTTCAATTTCTTCAGTTACCTACAAAACATGATAAAAAAGAATACAGTTACCTAACATTAATATTACGGCCAAAACGTTTTATCGAATTCCTTTTCACATATAAAAGATTACTGTTAGTCATAGGTTAGATCACGTTGTAGTCTCGGGTTATCATTAAGTAATACATGCTTAAGTAACGATTTGTTTTTTAACTTAAGCTGACCCTGGATGATCAATGGGCTTCACGTCTATTGTCTAATATTATTGTAGTTCTTATTTCTACTTTTTCCCAGTAACATTTAAATTTTAATCATCTAATTAATCATCTTAACTCAACCCACCTCGATCAGCCTGGAGAGTACTGCGGGTGCATCGAGACACCCAACTGCGGCTGGAGACTGAGCCAAGATTCACACTCAACAGACCGAATTTCCATTTTTTTCATTTTTTTTGCAATAACGTTAAAAATTGTTTGGTTGTATCGCAAGAGGTTTTGATTATAATAAATAAATAAAGATTGCGGATGTCTTTCTTTCGCGGCCATTTTGAATTTTGCGGTGAGCTGGTGCGAAGTCTAGAGCCGAGAATATATTCTTCTCGAGCCGTACTGATCACTCATAATGTGGCACTTCATTATACTTGGCAGGCGATGTTCGAAGAGGTTTCCAACTTTCCGACTGTCCTAGACCCCAGAATATCTCACGCGATTGCAGCCCTAGCAACAACCGAGAAGAAACGCATTTCACGCGTCCTTAATTAAAAGTAGCATCTATCATCCGATAAATTTTCTGTTGTGAGAAGCTCTTGTATTTTGTTCTAAAGTCATTTATGTTTACTGTTTGCTGAGTCTGTTGCTAGGTGTAGCCTAGCCCTGTTCCAGACTGTTCCAAGAAAGAGGTTTTTACAAAACTATTTCGGCTGACAACCCTCTCAGACTTACTGTATTGCAGTCATTCAAAAAAATGTACTTAACCTATAGCTAGTGACGTGTGAACTAGAAATCATAAACCATGGGGAATGTATACATAAATACATGTACGAAGGCTCTTAAGACCTGCTGATTAACAATGTCAGAGAAACATTTGTATCAATTCCGGGCTTTCAATGACCTGATGTAAAATGATTTTGCGGTCCTACCGGTAATTTCTCTTTTGATTACTTATGATCTCGAACTGCAGCTATCAAACCGTTTTCTGTTCTGGAACATTAGGGAACATAAACAAAGCACGTTTTTGAGCGACGAACTCAACCGGAAGTGAGGCATTTTTCCTTTCAATGATGCCTTGACGCTATTAAATATATCTCTTCAAGTCTCTTTACTCGCATAGAGATAATTCAACTGAACTGGATTTGGGCATAAAAACTGCCCACGAATGCGAAGAGTCCTCTTCCGGTTGACTTGCGTCGCTCAAAAACGTCTCTGCTTAAGTTCCCAACTGTTTCACCACCACGGATGTATGCTATTCTAGTGAATTTGTGAATCTATTGATTTTGATCATCTTAATCCCGCCTTGCGATGCTCCGAATTCGTGCTTAATTTTCGAGCCTCGCTCTCTCTCTCTCTCTCTCTCTCTCCCCCTCTCTCTCTCTCTCTCTCTCTCTCTCTATAGTACGGATTTTAAGATTATCTAAGCGAGTACAAATGTAGTCTGGATCATCTCATTAGATCACCCAACTGTACGTTAATAATAATTGTTCAGTGTTTCGAAATAGGAATGATTGCTTCTTTTGAGATTCCGCTTTCAGAATCAGCGGTCACTTTTTTAACGACTCGTCAAAATTTCTTCAGCCACTGAACAGAATGTCCTTATAATAAGTATTCCGCCAGCCAGCAGGTGACAAAAATAAACCTACCTGTATCACGTAAACCAGCTTAAGCTTAATCCTTGGCAGAGGTCAAAGCCTTAATTTTCAGTCTCAGAGACAGAGAAAACCTCTTTGAAAAGTGTTCAAGGTAGGCACCAGCCGGGCCCCTAGAATGTCTGCAACTGGTTACTGAATAGTATTAAGCGATAGAGATTCAAGGTACGAATCGGCTTTCCTGATTCAGTGATGCCTGATTCATGTGGTCTGAGGCAACATTCCTATGTAAATAAGTCCTAACCTTATCTAACCCGAAAATTATGATGCTGCTCATTGAACAAGTCAAATTTGAACAAAAAAGATGCCACGAAGGAACATTTGCATAAACAGCATAAAAGCGGCCGAGCGTAGAAAGAATAGAATAGAATATTAAAAAGTTAAAAGGTTTAAGGCTTGTTCATAGTCGAAAGTGCACTTAGCTTGTCCAGCTAATTTACAAGCACTCCCTCAAATATTTAGAAACAAATAATGTAAATCAGACAACATAACAGAATTAAGACCCCAACTGGCTGAAGGCAACCAGTTAGCTATTTATAAACGTGGCCGAGGATTTAAACTCGGGACGACCGAGAACAAATCCAGCAAGTGGCCATAACGCGGAATTCGAACCCACGACCGCCGTATCGGAGGCGCTGACCATACGCTGCCAACAGAATTCGGGTTACTGGAGTTCTACTGTACAAGAACAGTGAGCTGAGGCGCTTCTTAGAATGTATTTGTCGAGTCAGGTAGCCCTTAATAGGTTTCTATAAGAGAGAGAACACCAGTTTCTTGGTGTCCCTGAATCATTGAACAATATGATTCCATAACCATCATATGTAAGGGAAACTGAAATCGCAGCTCGTATTAATGACAAAAAAAATTATTGATATTGCATAAATAGTTAAGTCTTTCTTTGAATAAGAAGAGGAAAGGAGACTGAAGCAAAAAGTAAACGTCAAGACTGCTAGCAGAGCATGGACTGTCGTTATTTAATTTAATAAGCCATAAAGCTTGGGCTTAGGAATGGACCATTAGAAAAGTGATGGGGAGTGGAGCAAAATTTAAAAAAAATTCCCCAGGAAATTATGAATAAAAAAATATTCCTACAGATTCTGGCCAAAAAAAATTTATGCCTAAGGAGGAAAAAAAGGTTTACCACCTGACATGTAAAAAAAATTCTTGCATCTCTTAAAATCCCCACCACTCCCCCCTCCCCCCATAACTTTTCTAATGGTCCGTCCCTTAACGACATTCTGGGTCAAAATGAGCTCGTTATATGTAATCAATCTCCCATGCGATATATATATAATACAGGAGTATGATCAGCTGTCTTATGATAATGGCTAGTGTTAATATCCAATAAAATGTTTAAATTAGATAGGCCATCAAATGACTGGGTCGGAGGTTGCATAGCGCAAAGTTTAGTGGTAATGAGTTCCCTTCAGGAATTGTGCGTGGAAAAAACGAAGATGATCGCTAACAGTTGGTATTAGATTGTAGTCGAAGATATGACAGATGAGAAGTATGACGTTTTGGCCACCACTTGGCAGGAGAGGTGAAGTGGAGAACAGTCGACACTGGGACCCTGGACAATTTTGTACATAAGCGTCAGCCGGGCTGTCACTCTACGCTCTTCAAGCGACTGCCAACTGATTAGTTACTAATCATGTTCGTCACGCTTGACTCTCTAGCATGGTAGTCTCCATTCAGGGGCACCCATCCAACAACTGTTTTTGCTTTAAAATATATGTTCGGAGAAGCAAATATTACCTAGAATTTTCTGTTACTTGAGGACGGCTAAAAATTTCTAGGTGACCGTTCCATTCATGTACAATTTTCGAAGCTTACCTAATAAATTTCCTACGATTTTCTGAAGTTTAATTTTTCACATTTCACTCCCCAGGTTTGGCTATTTTTCTTAGTAAAAAGGAAACCTAAAATTTTCGGGTTCAAAAATGCAATGGAGAGAGGAATTAGAAAAATTCTCACTTTCACGTAAAATGTTAAATTGTGTCTAAGCTTTTCGGCAAACGAATTCTGAAGCCCGAATTTCGAAAAGACTTAAGTTGCCTAGGATCACCGAAAGCATACAAATTTTATTGCGCCACTGACAATGCATTTCTGAGTCTAAAAGTACTCTAGTGGATACCCTAAAAAGTGTTTTCAATTTTCATCATTCAATGGGTGCCTCTGTCCATTAATAAAGCGAGCTGCTCGCCATTGTACCTTCTCAAGTCGGATAAGATGTCACCCTTCTCGTAAGGATCCCAATCGGGCTATTCAACTGAGGGCGGTCTTACCAGGGTCTTATAGACAGTGCTCTTGATATAGGGTGAACATGATTTCAGGTCACGGCGCAGTAATCCAATAATCGTATTTGCTCTGGTGGTATACGTAAATTGCGCGGGTATGGTGACCCCAGTCTTAATCGTTAGACAAATCAACTCCTAAATATTTTTGTTTGGTAGACATCTCTAGGGTATGTCTTGTAAGCGGCAGTTCCTATAGATTGATTCTTGCGAAAAATGTGAAAAACATAACACTTGGATTTATTAAATTCCATCTGCCATTTGCTCTCTCAGTCACATAAAAGTGACAGTCCTTCTTCCCCAAATTCGTGATTCTACAGACAAGACAGCCTGGGGGGTACTCCTGGGAATTCTTGGTGGGGGTGTGCCGCCCGATTCTCCAAAACCTGACCCGATTTCAGACCAAAAAAAATACTTTCCGCAGCCGTTATCAGACCAGACCTCTAGAATCCATACCCGTTTTCAGACCTGGCCTTTAGGCAGAAATTATGTTATCATTACTAAGATTAGAGCGCAAACAAACAAATTCATCAAACCCGCTTCGAATTTGCATATTTCTCTTTCTTTCTTACTCATTCGGAATTGAAACAATAAATACGTTCATACATTCCCGTAGTTCCCCCGAAAACTATACCCCATTCCAGAGCAAATGGGCAAAGTGTATACCCGTTTTCAGACCAAAACGGCGCAAAAACCGATGGGGCGGCACATACCTATATAACTTATATAAGGGAGTACCCCCCACCCCCGGGCAAGACAGCCACCTAATACAGGCAGCAATGTCTGCACCGACGTAAACTTGAGTGTTCGCCTTTCTTTCTGAAGTTTTTGCATGGTAGCAGAATTCATTGACAATTCACAGTACTTTGAACTCTTTGCCTCGTGAAATTTAACTTCTTGGTTGTGTTGAAACTCTTCTTTTTCGACCTGGCGTCCTTCCACTTTTCACCGCCGCGTGACGCCCTACTTTGGTTGAGTTCGACCTGTCAACTGTACATGTTTCACAAACATCATCCATCATCAGTTGCGAAAAGAGCAAGGGTAAATGAGATACCGTGATCAGGATCTTTAAGACGCCAGGCCCTTGAAGCGTCAACCGACAGTACTGACTACCGGCAGTGCCTAGGACTCTGCAAATTTCCTGTCTGGAGAATGAAATAAAGTCTTTTGGATTCAAACGAAACATAGTCTCTGCGAACGTTTTTCTGTATACCCCCTGGGTAGCTGGTGTCACAAAACATTCTATCAAAAGGGACGTTTTCCTAACACTTCTGTATCCCACCCAACCCCCTGCCCCCCCGCAGGCACTGTACTCCACTCCCACGCGCGCCGCTAGCCTGCTGAGGCCAAGTTGACATAGCCTCCCACGCAGACGTTCTTAGGGGTTCGTCACGCGTTCCTGCCCCACGAACGACTTGTTTTTCTTTGCGTTCTGACTGCATTTCAGACATCCTAGGCACTGTTTAATACGTCTTTTTGAGCGACAGTTTTTCACCCAGATGTTATACAACGTCTTGCTGTATGAATAATTAAGTAGCTTGATGGGAAGTGTTGTTTTCGGGTTCTTTGGCATCCTAAGAGGCCTGAAACGCAGTCAACACACAACTAATCATAACAAAATACTAAAAGGAAAAATTTAATGTACGTTTCGCTCAATTATGGAGAAATAGGATAATTCTCATACAACGTCTTGTAACTGTTGTCTATGAATAAATAAGTAGCTACGTAGGAATGTTGTTCAGGGCTCTCAACCGGTTGCGTGGGAGGCTAAAGTTGACAAGGAATGAACTGTCTTCTCTAGGTTTCTGAAATATTCTTTGCTGAATAATGGACGAAAAGTTGGTGAAAGATTTGAGCTTTGAAGCTCATCAGAAGATGGACGTTCTCCTTCTCCCTACAAATCCGGGTCGAGACTGGAAAACGCTCGCGGGGAAGATGGGGTACTCGATGGAGACCATCTTGCATTTTGAATCAAAGAAAGATAAAGGCCCTGTGATGGAATTGATTAAAGATTATGAGGACAGAGGAAAGACGATCTCAGAACTAATATCTCTTTTCAGTGAAATGGAACGATTTGATTTGATTGAAGACCTTCGACCATTTATAGGTACGCTTAACCTTAGCAAGTATCGATCGAACTGTTGTAATGCTTAAGCTTGCATGTACTTTTGGTTAGTCAGCAGAGTCAGTGCTTTTTCCTGTATAATTTGTTTATCATGTAATATCTTGTCCAACATTTGAGGTGCATTTGCAATTTTTTTTTATCGGTTTTATGCAATCTTTACTACAAGTTCCAGGGTGGATATTCAGTTTGCATGCTCGCTCACTGCAAGCAAGATTTAAGTTTATGATTATTCCGGTTCGTCTGGTCAAAGTCCAGTCCATTTTACCCTTCTTCCGTTACAACATTATTTAGCCTTCTTAATTATAAGTTTTGAAACACTGAGATAGTAAAAGACTGAAACGCAGACCATGCAGACTGCAGACTGCAGACTGTGCAGACTGTGCAGACTGAGTGTTACTTTTTACTTATACCTTAATTTTCTAGTAAAATTTTTACTATAGTTACCTGCTTGCTCTCATTATCGCACTGTGCGTCACCATCATATGTGTACTGATGTGTACCTGCAAGGGTCATGGGTAGGAAATGAGAAAATCAGGGGCTCATGTTTACCGGCAGATGTAAAAGCAGTTTCGCGTGCTTTTAGCTGCGCCGCTTTCACGCAGGAGCGAGCACGATGGAGGAAGGTAAGCTGTTTCTTTCTGTAACTGTATTATATTGCCACGATTATTTATTTGTTTAGTAGAAGAAGCTTTTTCAGGTTAAGCGACTTAAAATAAAACCCTTTTCGGCTTGACCTACAACGGCTACGAGAGAGACAGTTCCTCAATTTCCTTGATTGTTGATGATCGTCTTTGGTTTCACTCTGTAATTCAAACCGGTG